AGCCACCTGTTCTTGGCTGAGATCCTTTTTCCCCTAATCCTGTATTTGTGACATAGTCTTGATGTATAGCTGAGGCTCACTTTGAACTCATGATTCTTCTGCCTCCTGAGTGTGAGGATTAGTTATGCCTTAGATTACAAAACTACCTGCCATTCTAAAATTTTGGATGATACATATTTAAGTCATACTTTCCTCATTTGTGTAAGAGGGGAATTGTCATTACCTATAATATCAGGTTATTGTAAATAAAGTACTGCAAAAGAGTGCTTAGTATACTTCCTGTAACATATAGGTTATCATCAATGATAAATATTTGAGTATTTATAAAAGAAATTTTTATTTTAAAATTGCATTTTTGTTTTAGAGCTCTAAAGCCACATATTTAAAAATTCTAAGTCCATATTAAGCCAAATTAGCTCCCTGATGAGTAGATTACATCCCAAATATGTTTCAAGTAGATCCTATTAGTGAAATTAAGGGAAAAAAGGGAACCATTTTTCTCTACACTTCTCAAGTACATGTCCTATTTTCACCTGTAGTATCTTACAGTGAGGATTTTGTTTTTTGCATTCTTTAAACCAAGTAATATTTAAAAGAATGAGATTATTATCTTCATGTTCTTGCACTTTTGCTTGGCTTTCTCATTCAACTCTGGTACTCTAAGACCACCACTTCAGCTACAACTTCACTTCTGACTTTTAAAAATTATTATTAATATTATTTGTCGGCTGTGGGGTTTGAACTCTGGGCCTGGATGCTATCCCTGAGCTCTTCAGCTCAAGGGGAGCACTCTACCACTTGAGCCACAGCACCACTTCTGGTTTTCTTAGTATTTTTTTGCATATAAGAGTCTCATGGACTTTCCTGCCTGAGGTGGCTTTGAACCCCAATCCTCAGATCTTAACCTCCTGAGTAGCTAGGATTACAGGCATGAGCCACCAATGCCCACTAAATTGTTATTTTTATGTGTGTACTGGAAATGGGGCTTGAACTTAGTAACTTTTACTCTTGTTTGGCTGCTTTTGCTTCAGTCTGTTGTAACCCTGAGCCATACCTCCACTTTCAGCATTTGGAGATAAGAGTCTCACAGATATGTCTATCCAGGCTGGCTTTGACCATCATGTCTTCAGATCTTAACCTTCTGTGTAGCTAGGATTATAGGGATGAGCCACTAGCATCCAGCAAATTTTCTTTTTATGTTGCTAGTAATGGAATCTAGACCCTCAGGCTCTTCTACTTGAGCTGTACCTCTATCCCACCTCAGAAATTCTTTTTTTTCCCCCAGTCCTGGCACTTGATCTCAGGGCCTGGACACTGTTCCTGAACCTCTTTGTTCTCAAGGCTAGCACTCTACTACTTAAGCCACAAGCACCACTTCCAGCTTTTTTTGAGTAGTTCATTGGAGGTAGGAGTCTCTTGGACTTTTATGTCTGGGCTGGCTCAGCCTCCTGAGTAGCTAGGATTATAGGTGTGAGCCACAATCACTTGCAGAAATTCTTATACCTTACACTAAAGATAGGTGGAGTTGTATGTGTATAAAGCTCAATTTAATTAGCCATTTTATTTTTCACTATCCATTTCCTTCTGGGGAACAATATTTGGTACTCAGCCTCTTTACCTTGGCCATGAGGAACAAAGCTCAGAGACAGTACCCAGGCCCTGAGTTCAAGCCCCAGGACAGGTATGTGCACACACGTGCACGCACACGTGCACACGCGCGCGCGCGCACACACACACACACACACACACGGACATATTAATGATTCAGTGACAAGTCATTGTTATATGGTGGGTGAGAGTGCTATGTGATTCACTGGCTTCTGAACAGTTAAGAACTTACTGGAAGAAGTGGGACCTAGTTGGGAAATATATGGTATCATGTGTAAAAAGGTAGGTTTATCTACTGCTTTTGGGGAGAAAGCAAACATGACAGAAGGAAATGGAATATGTAGTGTTTAGATAAATTCTACAAATGGGAAAAGAGTAGAGGGTGAAGTATGCACTAAGTAATATGACAGGAATCTAGGAGGGGAAATGATAAATGTTGAGAAAATAAGTCATTTAAGAGGAATACTACTATACAAAGAAAGGAATTCTCCACAAAGAAAATTACCATAGGCACAAGAAATAAATATAAATTTACCATTATATAGTTCTGGCTTAACTCCAGGTTGCTTTGGCTAAAATTTCCTATTCCTTCTTAGCTGTTGAGATAATTGACTTCCTCATTCCTAGTGAGATATGGTGACTTCCCCAATGAGATAAGTGGATTCTTTTAAAGTTTTCCTTACATTTACTAATGTATAGGACCTGAATACTAGGAATGTGACTTCCAGTTGCTTATTAATAAAATACACTCCAGTCAACTAGAACTTAGATGCCCTTCATCAGTCTATTTTAATGGAAGTTTTATCTTGATATATTTGTTATTACTAGTTTGAGTTATAGATAATATGAGTTCATTGGAGTTTTATCATTCCTGTTGTTTTAAATCTGTCTTTTGATAGACATAGAACAAGAAATTCACATCTGAACTTGTTCTGTGGGTTTTAAGTGTAATGGAGGACCAATTCAACTTTTACAATAAAGATGTAGTAGTTTCTTTTGTAATTAATGTTTATTCTTTTGTGCAAAATGTAAAGCTTCTACAAGCTTAAATGGAATGATAGAGGAAATTTTTGGTATTTAACTATGTAAGGTCTGAACAGGAACACCTCCCTCCCTCTTGGCTAAGTTTCCACCCAGTATTTGTTACCTAGGTAACTGGCAGACCTGGAAGTAGTCACCTTCCCCTCCAGCTAGGTCACATCCTTGGCCACCTCTGATCACATGCCTCTCATCTGACCTTAAGAGGTCACATCCAGATCCAGTGTGGCCACACCTTTCCCCCATCTGGCCACACCTCTTCCTGTCCCTGGCCTAGATAAGTCCTGGCCCAGAGGTGGGTCGCCCCCTTCCTACCTACCCCCCCTACTTTCCTTTTCAGCCATGCTTTTCCACTATGCATGGCAGGGGCAGCAATTCAGTAAATAAACTTCTTCTCCTGCCTGAATAGCATGTGGTGTTCTCTTCATCAGCTACCTAATGAAACCTACCTATTTAATATACCTTACAAATTATATTCATTTTAATACAGCTAACAGAAATTTCTGCTTTGATCTGTTCAGGAAAACCCAAGAAAGTATAAGTAAGTTGAAATTTCGTTGTAGTGGCAGTGTAATGCTCACTTGATATAAAAATATTGGTGAAGGAAGTGGTGCTGTAGCTCAAGTGGTAGAGCACTAGCCTGGAGCTGATGAGCTGAGGGACAGCGTTCAGGCCCAGAGTTCAGGTCCCACAACCGACAAGAACAAAAAACAAAAAATACTGGTGAAGCTGGGCTCTGGTGGCTCACACTTGTAATTATAGTTACTCAGGAGGATAAGATCTGAGGATCACGGTTCAAAGCCAGCCCCGGCAGGAAAGACAAGTGGCGCTGTAGCTCAAGTGGTAGAGTGCTCGCCTTGAGCTGAAGAGAGCAGGGATAGCACCCAGGCCCAGAGTTTAAGCTCCACGACTGACCAAAAAAAATGTATTGGTGAAATTATTTTAGAGTTAAGATGGATGTGCTTATAAAAATTATTAAATGGCTGGGAATGTGGCTCAGTGGTAGAATGCTTGCCTTTCATTCATGAGGCCCTGGATTTGATTCCTTAGTACCACATACACAGAAAAAGCCAGAAGTGGCACTGTGGCTAAAATGGTAAAGTGCTAGCCTTGGGCAAAAGCAGCTCAGGGACAGTGCCCAGGCCTTGAGTTCAAGCCCCATGACTGGCAAAAAAAAATGTATTAAAATTTTGGAAAGACAGTTTTTATATTTGACAATTGCTATAACTTGGATATGTAGAACTTGGCTTAACTCCCTTTTTCGTTAATCTATGTGTGAATATATTATTTTATTATATATGTATTAATTTCTTTTTTACAGTATATTGGTCATGGAAAAAACGCACCACTTACATTGATATCTATCTATCTGTCTGTCTATCTATCTGTCTATCTATATTTTTTTTTTGGGGTCCAGTCGTGGGGCTGAACTCTGGGCCTGGGCACTGTCCCTCAGCTCTTTAACTCAAGGCTAGCGCTCTACCACTTGAGCCACAGCACCACTTCCGGCTTTTTTTTCTTTTTCTTTTGTGGTGCTGAGGAATCGAACCCAGGGCCTCATGAATGAAAGGCAAGCATTCTACCACTGAGCCACATTCCCAGCCCCAATATATATATATATATATATATATATATATATATATTTTTTTTTTTTTTAAAGTATTTTTTGGCTGGTTGTGGGGCCTGAACTCTGGGCCTGGGCGCTGTCCCTCAGCTCTTCAGCTCAAGGCTAGTGCTCTACCACTTGGGCTACAGCACCACTTATGGCTTTTTCTGCTTATGTAGTGCTGAGGAATTGAACCCAGGGCCTCATGCATGCAAGGCAGAACTCTACCACTGAGCCACCTTCCCACCCCCTTACATTGATAAGTTTATCTTAGCTTGTGTTGAGATTGACTTCTAAGTTGCTCATGGTGACCTCCAATTTGTGATCTTCATGGATCAGCTTAGTGAGTAGTTTAAAGGGATGAATAACTATTTTTTTTTTTTTTGGTTGGTTGTGGGGCTGGCTTGAGCTCAGGACCTGGGTGTTGTCCCTGAACTCTTTTGCTCCAGGGCAGAGCTCTACCAGTTGAGCCACAGCTCTACTTCTGGTTTTCTGGAGGTTAATTGGAGATAATAGTCTCTTGGACTTTTCCTTCCCAGGCTAGCTTTGTACCATAATCCTCAGATCTCAGCCTCCTGAGTAGCTAGGATTAAAGGCATGATCTACCAGCGCCCAGTGAATAATTACTTTTAATAAGCTAGTATTACAGAAATATCAACAAACTAAGAAGTTCTTGTAGATAATTGAGAAACACGTCTTACCCTCTCCCTAAGAAATTCTATGTTTTATTCTATATTTTATTTTGTAGGCTGTAGAAAATCTTTGTTCTTACAAGATTTCTGCAAATTTGTATAAACAGCTGAGGCAGATTTGTGAAGATCACATCAAAGCGCAGATTCATCAGTTCAGAGAATATCCTTTCAAAAACAAAATTTCTTACATTCTTATCTTCTCCTTCTCCCTTCCCCTCACTGTTTAACCCAGCTTGAAGTGGAATGTCTATTTTGTACATTTATCATTTTTGTTCTTTGCATTTTAGAGGATTTTTTTTACTTTTTAGCATTAGAGTTCAAATATATCTGTCATATGTAAGTAAAATTTCCTCTTATTGTTACCATTTTGTACTAGCAAATTTGTAAGAAAATGATAAACCAAAGATGTTATGCTCAATTATGTGTAGGACTTATTTCAAAAATTTAATTATCATATAGGTGATGTACAGAGGAATTGCAGTTACATAAGTCAGGTAATGGTAGGACTGATTTTTAAAGGTGCCTTAGTGAGAGACCTTAATTTTTTTGCATTTTAAGAAATACCTTTTGTTCTTTAGTTGTTATTGTTTTATTTAATGTAAAGAATTTTTTGTGTTTGTGATAAATATGCTTATATTGCATATATTACTTGTACTAAACATCTTAAAATATCCTTAACATACACTATGGATTCATTGGATAGTGTTCTTTTTCTAAAGAAGATTGACAGATGCTGGCAAAACCACTGTAGGCAAATGGTAAGTTAAAAATAATATTATAGGGGCTTGGAAGGTGGCTCAGTGGTAGAGCAAGCTTACCTTGCATGCTTGAGGCCCTGGGTTCGATTCCTCAGCACCACATAAGCAGAAAAAAACCGGAAGTGGTGTTGTGGCTCAAGTGGTAGAGTGCTAGCCTTGAGCTGAAGAGCTGAGGGACAGCACCCAGGCCCAGAGTTCAGCCCCACGACCGGACCTCCCCAATAAAAAATAGTATATTTCAGCTTAGACTTGGTAGCTAAAAAATCATCAAGTATAGGAATGTTACTTATAAAAGCCTTGTAGCCTGGTGCTGATGACTCACATCTATAATCTTAGCTACTCTGGAGGCTGAGATCTGAAGATCAGGGCTTAAAGCCAGCCTGGGCAAGAAAGTCCTAGATACTCTAACCTCCAATTAACCACAAAGAAAAAAAATGTGGGAAGTGGAGCTGTGGTTTATGTGGTAGAGCGGTAGCCTTGAGCACAAGAATCTGAGACAATGCTCAGGATCACAGTTCAAGTTCTGGGACTAGCAAAAAATAAAATAAAATAAAAATTAAATAATTAAAAACTACATCATTAAAAAGTTGCACTTTGTCAGTCTTTATTTTCTTTTTCTTTATTTTCTTTTTCTTTTTTTTTCTTTTTCTTTTTTGGGGGGTCCGGCCATGGGGCCTGAACTCTGGGCCTGGGCACTGTCCCTCAGCTCAAGGCTAGTGCTCTACCACTTGAGCCACAGCGCCACTTCCGGCTTTTTGCTTATGTGGTGCTGAGGAATCGAACCCAGGGCCTCATGCATGCAAGGCAAGCACTCTACCACTGAGCCACCTTCCCAGCCCCTTTATTTTCTTTTTATTTATTTTCTTTTCAGGACCTTATATTTGCTAGGCAAGCATTCTATCACTTAAGTCACACCCAGCCCATTCCGTCAGACTTTTCTGTCTGGGCCTGTTTTGAACTTTGATCTGAAGAGCTCAGCCTTTTGAGTACTGAAGACTGTATTGTGAACCACCAGTATTTAGCATAAATTAAAATCTTAAAATATATTCTCAATATGCCACAGGTACAATTTAAGACATTTTTATCTACTAGTCCTGTTGCTAAAGAAGAAGTGTATGTGTGCCCTTGATTCCCTTTTTTAATTTTATTTTCAATTCCACTGCACTAATTAAAACATTAAATAGCTATTATACTTTAATATGACAATTTTGATGAAAAAAAAATTTGCATTTTTAAATATTTGATTGTAAATGAATTGCTCTCAAAATTGGCTATTTGTATTAATTCATATTTGAAATATTTAATTTAGAACTACCTTTTATCTATACCAATTGGCTTCTAAATTGCTACCTTTTATCTGTACCAGTTGGCTTCTAAATTGCTATGATGCTCTATATAACAGGTATAGTATCCTTGAGTCTCTCTTTTTTTGTCCTGGGACATGAACACTGGGCCTGGGTGCTAACCCTGAGCTTCTTTTGCTCAAGGCGAGTGCTTTACCACTTGCACTACAGCTCCACTTCTGGCTTTTTTTGGTAATTTATTGGAAATAAGAGTCTTTTGGACTTTCCTGCCTGGTCTGGGTTCCAACCACAATCCTCAGATCTCAGCCTCCTAAATAGCTATGATTATAGGTGTGAGCCACCAGCACCTAGCTTGATTCCCTTTTCATACTTTCAATTACTTCTTTTTCTTTTTCCTTTTTGTTGGTCCTGGAGCCTGAACTCTGGGCCTGAACGCTGGCCCTCAACTCTTCACCTCAAGGCTAGTTCTCTACCACTTAAGCCACAGCGCCACTTCCGGCGTTTTCTGCTTATGTGGTTCTGAGGAATCAAATCCAGGGCCTCATGCATGCAAGGCAAGCACTCTACCACTGAGCCACCTTCCCAGCTCTCCAATTATTTCTTAAGTAGCAGAGAAATCAGAGGACTATTGTGTTTCTTTGCTAGACACCTCAACAAGGATTATTTATTTTCAGATAAATATGTTTATGTGTATGTTGGATCTTCAGAGTCTAGTATAAAACTCGTTTTTTTTCTTCTATTGAGAGCAAGTATTTCAATTTCACAAATTATAAAACTTGTTTAATTTCTTTTATTTTACAGATAATGATTAGAAGCATTTTTTTGTTTCTGGATAGAACTTATGTTCTTCAGAATTCAATGCTACCTTCCATTTGGTAAGGATGCTAGAAAATTGAGATTTGTTACAAATTAACTTAATTACAATCATGAAAGAGCAAGTCATACTGTAATATCCTACAAATTCACATTTGGCTCTGACATATGCTAATACTGAAGATGGCTAACTTTTCCTTAGTGTATACTAAGATATGAAGCAATTTTTCTTGCTAAGCAAGATTAACACTTGTGCTGGAATGTCTGTGAGTGAATTGCTACTGATCATCAAGACTTCAATTGTTTTCTTCTAATAATAGTATATAGAAAAATTGATGTGCACACAAAAGTGAAATGTTATGGTAAACTCCCATACCATGTGCCTAATTATCTGTAGTCATAATCTGATTTTGTAGTACTGAAGTCCATTAGTGAGTGACTAAATATGCCAGTACAGTGAAAATGGTTTTGTGTTTGAACTAATTCGTTGTTTCTTGAAACAAGGTCTCATTATGTAGATCAGGTTTGCCTGACATTCACTATGTAGTCCAGGCTGGCCTCAAATTCACAATACTCCTGCCTCAGCTTCTTGAATGCTGAGATTACAAATATGTACCACAATGCCCTGCTTTTTTGAATTAATATTGTTTCTTGACTTGGTGAAATCAAATGTTATCAGGAGATAATATAATTTCCTCCACCAGAGGAAATAATAAAAACTTAATTATGGAGGAAGACAGGAATTTAGTTTTCATTAAAGACAAAAATGAGTTTTCTGTATATTTAATAATGTTATTCAAAATTTAATATGGATTTAACTTTTTACAATTTCTCCTTTGAAGCCTAGAATCCTAATTAATGTGTAAGAAGTTAAGCAAGGCTATTCAGAAATGGTATTGTCAATTAATTTAGTTTTTTTTTTAATTTTAGGGACATGGGACTAGAATTATTTAGGGCTCATATTATAAGTGATCAAAAAGTCCAGAATAAGACAATTGATGGCATTCTTCTCTTGATTGAGAGGGAGAGGAATGGTGAAGCAATTGATAGAAGTTTACTCCGAAGCCTTTTAAGTATGCTTTCTGATTTGCAAGTAAGTTATTTCACTGCCTATAGATATGATTTAATACCCACATTCATAGTGTTTTTCATATAGAAGACATTCAATAAATATTTGTTGAATAAATGACCTTCATTTTGCTCCCTGCTGCCAGATTTATCAAGATTCTTTTGAACAGCGATTTTTGGAAGAAACTAACAGGCTCTATGCAGCTGAAGGCCAAAAGTTAATGCAAGAAAGAGAGGTATTTAAAAGTCATGTTTAATAAGTCCACTTTCTCTTACAATAGACCTTACTTTGTAGAATATAAGCTTCCCTATACATTTATCTTCCCAACATTATGCTGCTTTTCTCTCACTTAGGTGCTCCTTTCTTTTCTCTCTTCTTAAAGGCCAGAATTCTGGATCATAAACTCTACCTATAATTTTACATATGATTCACCCCTGTCACAGTTTGACAGGGCTGCTCCCAGGATCTTTTGGACTTGACATTTTCTGAATGATTTAAGGGGCGGAAAACAATAATATAAAAAACTATCTTTGTAGGTTCCTGAATATCTTCATCATGTTAACAAACGTCTAGAAGAAGAAGCAGACAGACTTATTACTTACTTAGATCAGACCACCCAGTAAGTATTACATGCTCAGCCTAATACTTTAAAACTGTTAGGAAATCTCTTACGGCATTTTAGGCATCTTAAACATGTTAAAAATACTTTTCAGGTGTGATTTAGATTTTTAACTGTTGTTTTTATAAATACAAATTTCAAGTAATTATTTTCTCTAGTTAACTGGATTTGATCAAGGATTTGATTGTTGGTCGTATGTGTTTAAATTATAATTTAAAATGATGTTAAGGGCTGATGTGATCTTTTAAGTATTTAGGGTGTTCACAGGAGAAACTTTCTGTACTTTCCCTAAATAGTCTCAGGGAGTTGCAGTAAACAGCATAGATAACTTATTTACTTTTGTAATAAAAAGAGAAACTTGAAAAAAAACAGCCACAGCAAGATCATGGAGATATTTACTAAATCTAATTTTGAAATACACTGTTTTTCTTCTTCTGTGCATAAAGTAAAGTAATTGAACACAGTTAATTTGGCACATTGGATGGGAAACATCAAAATTAGCATAAATATAATGAACTGTTTGATTTTTTTTCTCATAAGAGGCTTTGATTTTCAGGGAAGCCAATGTCAATCATTTTAATTTTTTTTCCCTTGTAGGAAATCATTAATTGCTACTGTTGAAAAGCAACTTCTAGGTGAACACTTAACAGCAATTCTTCAGAAAGGTAATTGGCAATTTGCCAATAATGTATTTTTAATGGTAATTACAAACTGAGTAGGGAATTGTAAACACTTAGCCATTTTAAAAGCTTGAGAGCTACATTTCTGAGAATAGACAACCCTTTCCCCTACTCAACGTTGAAAATTTTCTGGAGTTACTAGTTTCCTTAAGTGAAAGAGGAATTGAGAAGAGTTCACTGGTACCAATAAAGAAACACTAGAGGCCCTGAGGGTGTGGCTCAATGATAAGAGCACATGCCCAGAATTATCCCCAGCACTACAAAACATGAAAACTGGAAACTTGGGAATCTTTTTATAAGAAGACTAAAGTAAGGAAAGTCATTCCTTTTGCAAGTTTTTTTCTTTTGTATGTTTTCTTTTATTCTTAGACTATATAGCCAAGCACTTCTATTAATCCTAGATTTTTTTTTGTTTTTTGTTTTTTTTTCTGGTTGTGGGGCCTGAACTCTGGGCCTGGACATTGTCCCTCTGTTCTTCAGCTCAAGGCTAGCGCTCTATCACTTGAGCCACAGCGCCACTTCTGGCATTTTCTTCTTATGTGGTGCTGAGGAATCGAACCCAGGGCCTCATGCATGGAAGGCAAGCACTCTTACCACTGAACTGCCTTCCCAGCTCTAATTCTAGATGTTTTTATGGTATACCCAGAATTTTAATTTAACAATGATATAAATAGGCAAAAAAACTTTTGTTGCCAACAACATTTTCTTTTAAGTGATATAGTTAGAAATTTAATGTAATCAAATTACTATTTTGTTTGGGAAATCAGATATATTAGAACAGTTAAATTCCCCTATTTATGTATGGCTTTTTGGTTTATCATAGTCCATATTCAATACTCAAAAATATAAGTACATATACTAGTGCTAATTATAATGTGGCCCTGCATACGTATATATGAAATGAAAATTTATGTAAGCCAGATTTTAAACATTGGTTTATATATCTAGTCCATCATGTAAATGACACAAACAGTAATTCAGCTAACTTTTTCTTTTCTTGTACTGGTACTGGGTCTGGACCTCAGAGCCTTATGCTCTTGCTTGTTCTTTTCATTAAGGTTGGCACTCTACAACTTGAGCCCCACTTCCAACTTTTTTTCTTTTGTAACTTTTCAAATAGGATTTCCATTTTTTCCCATGATGACCGGAACCTCAGTTCTCTTATTTATGCTTCCTGTGTATTTAGGATGACAGGTGTACAGCACTGCTATGCTCATTTTTATATTGGCTGAGGTGGAGTTTCACAGACTTTTTGGCTTAGCCAGCTTTGAAATTTAATCCCCTTAATCTCTGTCTCCAAGTACCTAGGATTACAGCTATTGCGTCTACTTCGTTGTTTTCTTTTTTTCTTTTTTCTTTTTTTGTCAGTTGTGGGACTTGAACTCTGGGCCTGGGCACTGTCCCTCAGCTCAAGGCGAGCACTTTACCACTTCAGCCACAGTGCCACTTTATTTATTTTTTGAGTTGTCTTTTTTTCTTTTTTTACATTTTACATTTTTACATTTTATTATTAATATCTTTAAGTAATTGTACAAAGAAGTTCCCATTCTACAAAACAGTATATGAGTACAAGGTGTCTGACAACATTGTCACCCATTGCTCCTAACCCATCCCTTTTGCCACTTTTTTTTAAAATTGAGATTAGGTGATTACATAAATTTCACATGTTTCACATTATTGTGGAATAGCGATACTTAGTTAAAGTTACAAACACATTTTAACCTTCACAAGGCACATTGTCATTATCATGGTCTATAAAGTTTGTGAATTATATGAGCTTTGACAATACAAATTATTTCTTTCACATCAGGTGATGATTACATTTCTTTCCTTTTGCTTAGTGTAGGCTGTTCCTTCTTTCCCTCTCATTCCTCCCTTCCCATCACTGTCTTTGGGTTGCTTAGTTCTGTTTCTTCTATGTCCAGTGCAGCTGATGGGCCCCTTTGTTGTATGTGGTTCGTTTCCCACTTATTCTGTTCTTCCTCCTAGCTTCCCTCTGTTGCGTGCATATATCTACCATATATATGGTCAAGAACATGGAGTCTTTTAGCAATGATATGACAAAATGGGTGGCTATCCTTTGTTTCTTGAGTCCTGTTTACTTTGTTATATCTTCTTGCATTTTGGCTTTAGCATCTATATATCAGGGAGACCATGTGCCATTTGTCTCTTTGTTCTTGGCTTACTTCACTCAAAATAATTTCAATCCATTTCCTGCAAATGCCATAGTTTTGTCCTCTAAATGGCTACATAATATTCCATTGTATATAGCCACCACAATTTTTGAATCCACTCATCAGTAGTGAGGCATCTGGATTGTTTCCAAATCTTGACTATTGTGAATAGTGCTGCAATAAACGTGGAGGTGCATGTGTCTTTGTATACTGGTTCCTGTTGTTCAGGGTAGATGCCTAGGAGTGGTATGGCTGGGTCATAGGGAAGGTCTATATTTAGCTTTCTGAAGTACCTCCAGACTGCTTTCCAAAGTGGTTGTATTAGTATACATTCCCACCAGTGTAGTAGGGTTCCTCTTTCTCTGCATTCCCTCCAGCATTTGTTATTGGTTGAATTTAGGATGTGGGCCATTCTGACTGGGGTAAGGTGGTATCTCAGTGTTGTTTTTATTTTCATTTCCTTTACAGCCAGGGATGATGAACATTTCCTCATGTGTGTCTTTGCCATTTTTATCTCTTCTTCTGAGAAGACTCTCTTTAGTTCCCTTACCCATTTCATGATCGGTTTGTAAGATTTGTGAGGGGTTAGTTTCTTGAGTTCCCTGTATATAATGGATATTAGGCTGTTGTCTGATGTATTGCTGGTAAATACTTTTTTCCCAGTTAGTTGGCTTTCTTTCAAGTTTGGTTGCTATTTCTTTATCTGTGCAGAAACTTTATTTTAAGGTAGTCCCATTTATCGAGTCTCTCTCCAGTTTATTGTGACCCTGGGACTCTGTTCAGGAAGTTCCTTCCTATGCCTATAAGTTCAAATGTCTCTTCTATTCTGTCTGTCCTGCAGTAGTTTCAGAGTTTCAGGTTTGATGTGAAGGTCTTTAATCCATTTGGGGATTATGTTAGTGCATGGTGACAGGCTAGGGTTCACTTTCAGTTTTTTCCATGTGGCCACCCAGTTTTCCCAGCACCAGTAGTTGAACAGGTTATGATTCTTCCACTGTATGTCTTTGGTGCCTTTCTCAAATATCAACTAACTGTACATATGTGGCTTTATTTCTGGGTCCTCTAATCTGTTCCATTGATCTTCAGGTCTCTTTTTGTGCCAGTACTAAGCTGTCTTTGTTATTATGGCTCTATAGTAGAGCTTGAAATCCAGTATCGTGATTCCTCCTGCGTTGTTTCTTTTGCCTAGAATTTCTTTGGCTATTCTAGGTCTTCTGTTGTTCCATGTGAACTTTTGGAGTGTTTTCTCTATTTCACTAGAGTATGTCATTGGGATTTTAATGGGAATTGCATTGAGTGTGTATATCAATTTTGGCAGTACGGCCATTTTCACTACATTAATTCTGCCTATCCAGGAACATGGGAGGTCTTTCCATTTCCTGGTATCTTCTATGATTCCTTTTTTTTAAGCTTTTATAGTTTTCATGAAATAGACCCTTTACATCTTTGGTTAGGTTAATTCCTAGATACTTTATGTTTTTGAGGTTATTGCACTTTACTGTTTTCATAGTAACCAAAATAATCATAATTTTCACTCAGAAAAGTGGTCAGTTTGGGTTTAATTTAAAGGAAATGTCTATATTCTAATTTACATACAGACCATTTATAGGTCAAACCAATAATATCACATTAACAATTTTAAATTTCTTTTAAAGCAGGTACAATTTTTTCACTTGTTTGTCTACTGTATTTTAATGCCAAAATCTCTCAAAATTCAGGTTTAAATAACCTCCTTGATGAAAACCGAATTCAAGATTTATCTCTCCTGTATCAGCTCTTTAGCCGAGTTCGAGGTGGAGTTCAGGTTCTCTTGCAACAGTGGATTGAATACATCAAGGTATTAACAATTTAACTGTCAGTTTTTCTTTAACGGTTTATGTTTTATGTACCCAGTTCACATACCCAGAAAAGCATTTAAGCATTTCTTCTAAAATCCCAATTTATTTATTTGTGTTATCCTGGGGCTTGAACTCAGGGCCTAAGTGCTGTCTCTGAGCTTTTGTGCTCAAGGCTTGGGCTCTCTCACTTGAGTCACACAGCTCCACATCTGGCTTAAAAAAATAGTTTATTGAAGATATGCATCTTATGGACTTTCCTGTCCAGGCTGGCTTCTAATGCTATCCTCAGATCTCAGCCTCTTCAGTTCAGGATTTTAGGTGTGAACCACTGACACTCACCTGTTTATTTGTATTTTACTTATTTATTTAACTTATTTGTTGGTTTGTGTGTATGTGTGTTTGCATGTGCATGTGTGCATGCACCAGTCTGGGGGTATGGTTCAAGTGGTACAGCACCAGCCTTGAACAAAAAGCTAAGCAAAACTCAAGGCTCTGAGTTCAAGCCAATTTACTAGCCCAAAACAATTTTCATAGATGCCTTATTTATAAGGAAAAGATCTTAGAAACTTCCAATAACACCCTTGTAGGATATTTTCTACCTGGTGGTCATTCTTACTAGTTTTGTAATTATAGATTAATGGTATCACTTTTGATATTTTCCTCATTTCAGAAACATCTAATATTTTAGGTTCTTCAAATATACATAGCAACTTACACTATGATTTTGGGTAGTTTTCACTTAAGATAATCAGTTTTAGTAAAAGAGCCATTTTTTATTTTTAGGCCTTTGGGAGTACTATTGTTATTAATCCTGAAAAAGATAAAACCATGGTTCAAGAATTGCTGGATTTTAAAGATAAAGTTGACCATATAATTGATATCTGCTTTCTGAAGAATGAAAAATTTATCAATGCCATGAAAGAGGCATTTGAAACATTCATTAACAAAAGACCAAATAAACCTGCTGAACTTATAGGTATGTTTTTCAGTCCTTTTGTGATAATTTAGTGTTCTTTTGTTAAAAAAAATCTTAAAGTCTGAAATTTGGCAAGGTTATAATTTAGCTTTATTTGGGGTTGCTTATCTAGTAATACCACCCTCCAAAGTATCTCTCAGGACACCAATGTAAAGAATAAAGTTATTCAAGCTAAAGAACATCTCAAAGCCCACATACAAACATGTCAGAAGGACATTGGACTCTATTTACTTTGACAGTAAACTAGGTTATCCTTTTTCTAAGCCATTGTGACTTAGAATTGGGGTAGGGTGTTGTTTCTAGAGGTACATCAAGTTGTAAGAAAGGTAGCATGAAATTACTGAATGAAAATGAATGTAATTGTCTGAGTCTACTTAGATATACTGGAAAGGTCTAGGCTCCCCTGTCAAAATGATGAAATTTTGTTGAAATGTGTTTATCTTTTAAAAGTTCTGCAGAGGCTGGGAATGGGGCTTAGTGGTAGAGTGCTTGCCTACCATGCATGAAACCCTGGGTTCAATTCCTCAATACCACCTAAACAGAAAAAACTGGAAATAGCACTGTGGCTCAAGTGGGAGAGTGCTAATCTTTAGCAAAAAAAGCTCAGGGACAGTGCTTAGGCTCTGAGTTTAAAGTCCAATACTGGCAAAAAATAAAGTTTTGCAAATTTTACCTTCTACTCTGTATCTGATTTATTTCAATAAAAGTTAACTTTAGCAGAGCTTGGTGCCACATGTCTGTGATCCCAACACTCAGGAGATTGAGCCAGAAGGATCCTTAGTTTGAAGGTTGGCTGGGCTAGATGGTGAGAGATTTTGTCTCAAAATAAAAATTAAGAATATAATCGGTAAGAATATTTACAATGAATGTAAAATGGAAACTACCAAAGATACCCCAGATCTTGGTGGCTTTGATTACTCCCACTATATGCAACTTCCCTCATTGGGTTTCTGGGCTCCATTTTTTTTCTGTCATGGAGCTTGAACTCAGTGCCTGGGCACTGTCCCTGAACTTTTTTGCTCAAAGCTAGCACCCTGCTACTTAGAGCCACAGTACCACTTCTGGTTCTCTAGTGGTTAATTGCAGATAAGAGGCTCATAGACTTTAGGTTGGCTTCGAACTGTGTGTAATCCTCAAATTTCAGCCTCCTGAGTGGCAAGGATTGCAGGCATGAACCACCAGAGCCTGGGTGCTGTCCCTGATCTTTTTACTTAAGGACATTGCTCTACCACTTGAGCCCTAACTCTACTTTGGACTTTTTGGTGATTAGCTGAAGAGTTTCACAAACTTTCATGCCTAGGCTAGCTTTGAACAGTAATTGTAAGATTTCAGCCTCCTGAATAGCTAGGATTTTTATACATGTGAGCTACCAGCACCCAGTATATACTCCATTTATTTGTTGTTGTTGCTGCTGTTGGTCCTGGTACTTGAACTTGGGACTTGGGCCCTGTCCCTGATCTTTTTGCTCAAAAGGCTAAAACTTTACCATTTGAGCCACAGCTCCACTTTTGGCATTTTTAGGGGTAATTTGTTGGGAGTAAGTGTCTCATGGGCTTTCCTGCCCAGACTGGCTTTGAACTGCAATTCTAAGATCTCAGTTTACTGAGTTGTTAGAATTATAGATGATAGCCAGCAGTTCCTGGCCATACTCCATTTTAATAAATATTATGATAGCAAAAATATAGTCAATCTGGAGTCAGAAGACTAAGGTTTGAGTTTTTGGCTCTGGTATTTATCGCTCTGTGAGAGAAAAAGGGTGGATGAGTACAGTTATTATATTCAATGTACACATGTGAAAAATGGAACTTGAGGGTATGGATGGGGTTGGGAAAGATAGGGGAGAACAGTAGAAGCAGTGGCATTGGTCAAGATACATAGTACTTATAAAGTGATTTACTGAATTGAAACCCCTTTGTGCAACTACTTAATGATAAAAATAAAGCAAATATGTATGCACACTTGTGTGCGTATGTACATATGCACGTACATGCAAACATTTAAGAACAGAAAACAGTGTATTATACTCCTACTTGAGTTTGTGTACTGCTCAGTCAGTGCCTTGTGGATACTGATGGTTACTAAACAATAAACTTTTTCATTTTAGCTAAGTATGTGGACTCAAAGCTTCGTGCAGGAAATAAGGAAGCTACAGATGAAGAACTTGAGAAAATGTTGGATAAAATCATGATCATATTTAGATTTATCTATGGTAAGTAGTTATTAGTTTTAATATTCTTCTTTTATATATATATTTATTGTAAATATACTGTACAGAGGGGTTACAGTTACATGAATAGGGTAATGAGTACATTTCCTATTGAGCATTGTTACCTCCTCCTTTGATTTCCCCCCCCCCCCCAATCACTTCCCTCCCCACCTCCCCAAGCCCTCCCTTCCCCCCCTTCCCCGACATTTTAAAACAAAACACTGACAAATAGCAAGTATATGTAGCCTGGAGAGACTATTTGTGGATTAGACATTTAAAATTGTATTTTATTCCTTGCATTTAATTAATTGGGAATACTGGAGGAATATTACTTAATGGTCTTGTGCTTTGACTTTTCACAATTAAGAATCTAGACTTTTGCTGTTTATGTTAATCTCTGAGTTTTGGTGCTAATGCTACTATTTGACAAAAGCTTTTCTAAGAACAGTTAATGTAGCTTTAATTCTTTACAGTAAAGAACTTTGGAAATATCTCACACAGAGCTGGACCTTTTTTATGTTTTTGAATTTAAAAAACTCATATAACATATATAAATTGAAATAATTAAGTCCTTCACAGTCATTTTGTCAGCACTTAAATTGTGTGTTATATTTATTACTTATATAGGCAAGGATGTTTTTGAGGCCTTCTATAAGAAAGATTTAGCCAAACGCCTGTTAGTTGGGAAGAGTGCATCTGTAGATGCTGAAAAATCAATGCTGTCCAAACTTAAGCATGGTATGTTTCCATTCTCTTATTTTTTTTCTTTGATTTCTTTCTTTTTCTTCTTTTGGTGGTACTTGGGTTTGAATTCAGAGTCTCAAGCCTACTAGGCAGGTGCTTTACCACTTTATGTATACCCCCAGCCCTCTTTTCTTTGATACCTTTTTGTGTGAGTGTGCTGGTCCTAGAGCTTAAAACTCAGGGCTTGGACAATGTCCCTGAGTGTTTTGGTTTTTTTTTCAGTCGTGGGGCCTGAACTCTGGGCCTGGGCACTGTCCCTCAGCATTTCAGCTCAAGGCTAGCACTCTACCACTTGAACTACAGCTCCACTTCTGCTTTTTCTGCTTATGTGATGCTGAGGAATTGAACTCAGGTCCTCATACATGCAAGGCAAGCACTCTACCACTGAGCCACCTTCCCAGCCTCTCCCTGAGTGTTTTTTTTTTCAGTTGTGGGGCTTGAACTCTGGGCCTGGGCTCTGTCCTTCAGGTCTTCAGCTCAAGGCAAGTGCCCTACCACTTGAGCCACAGTGCCACATCTGGTTTTCTGGTGGCTAATTGGAGATAACAGTCTCAGGAACTTTCCTGGCTGGCTTTGAACCTTGATCATCAGATCTCATCCTCCTGAGTAGCTAGGATTACAGGCAAGAGCCACCAGCGCCTGGCTTGTCCCTGAGTATTTTTGCCTAAGGCTAGTACTTTGCTACTTGAGCCACAACTTCACTTCCAGCTTTTTGCTGGTTAATTGGAGAAAAGAATCTCTCAGATGTATTCACCTGGGCTGGCTTTCAACAGGGACCCTCAGATCTCAGTAGCTAGGGTTACAGGTATGAACCACCAGTGTCCAGCTTTTCTTGGTATCTGGGGAAAATGTTAACTTGCCGTTTCTTTTTTCCTTGGTTGCCTTTTTTGTCAATCATTTTATGTATAAGTGATACAATTGAGCAAGCTCATGGGGTTTCTGATTTATTATGTCCAGAGCTGTTGCCCTTTTAAAATAGAACATTATTCTTGATTTTTTTGGTCAGTCATAGGGATTAAACTCAGGGCCTGAGTGCTTTCTTTTAGCTTTTTTGCTCAAGGACAGCACTCTATCACTTTGAGCTACAGCACCACTTCCAGTTTTTGAGTGGTTAATTGGAAATAAGAGTCACACAGGAACTTTTCTGCTCAGGTTGGCTTCGAACCACAATCCTCAGATCTCAGCCTCCTGACCAGCTAGGATTATAGGTGTAAGCCACCGACATCCAGCTTATTCTTAATTTTTGTTTGTCTAAAATTTTATCTTACATCTGTATAGTAGATGAGATTACTGCCAGACTAAGGAGTTACAGGAGTAGTGGGGCATATATTGTGGATAAAGATTTCTTTTTATTATAAATAGTTATAGATCATATTTCATGCTAAAGTAAGTTTCCCATTTAAAATTCTTTGTTTCTCTACCAAAAAATGCCATAAATGTACAAACATTTTTAATAGAATGTGGAGCTGCTTTCACCAGCAAACTTGAAGGAATGTTTAAAGACATGGAACTTTCTAAAGACATCATGATTCAGTTCAAACAGGTAAAAGTGAGTTAAACTCTTAATTCCTCAAACTTAAATACATTTATCTCCTGTGGGAGTTTATATTGGTGATTATACATCCCTGTATTTGTTGTAAATATTTCATAGTCACTTAAATGATAATCATAACAAAGGAAAAAGATCATCAATGAAATGTAAGTATATTTGACCTACTTTAGGATTTTTTTTCTCAGTAAACACCCATTATATCAGAAAAATAGAAATAAAATTTATTGAAATGAGTCAACATAAGAAATATTGTAGCTAGATAGTGGGAACAGTGTTTTTCCTAGTATCTAATCACTCGGTAATTTGCATGTTCATAGATTTTAATGAAGAGAGAAAAGAGAGATGATAAAGTAGTTTTATGAAGTTTCTGGGGATATTGGGGACGAACATCTGGATTTATAATTTTAAACATGTAGATAGAAAATAGTTTTGAAATATTTAATAACATTACTGGGTACAGTGATGTGGACCTATGTATAGTGTCAGTAATCGAGATGTTGAAATGGGAAGATTGCTTGAATCCAGGAGTTTGAGACCAGCCTCGGAAATAGAGAAAGACCCTGTCTCAAAGAATAAGAGCAATGATAGCATTGATGATAGTGATAGCAATTTAGACTTTTCACCTTTGTGGTTTTAGTGATGACTTTTTAATTACTATATTGGTAAGTTGGGAAATGAAAGTGAAAGACACAAGAAAAAATCAGTGTCAGTAGGATCATGGATCTTGTAGTAGCTATAGAATAAGATTTGTAAGCTTTGCCATACCCTTCCACTTCCTTCCCTACTTCAGGTTGCCTCCTGAAAGCAGATGGTGAAAAATCTCAGACTTGGGCTGTCTTGTGGGGTGAGGTTGCTGCAAGGTGTTCCAAGCCACAATATTAGTCTCCAAAAGTGGGGACTTCAGGTGGCATTGGGGGGGCAGAATGGAGAAGACATCTTATTCACCTGTATGTGAAAAACTAGTCAAGTTAATAATGCCTAGAGTAATAATAGTAAAACGTATCAAAATGGTAACCTCTGTACTTTTCTAGTGCATTTTGTGTAGACTTCCTTTAAGGTCCTCTTAATAATCTTTTATGTTCAGGATGATCAATCAGTATTCACATGTAGTTCCTTGTATGGAATTTCTTTTTTTTGTTGGTTGTGGGGCCTGCCTGGGCATTGTCCCTGAGCTTTTTTGCTCAAGGCTAGCACTGTACTGCTTTGAATCATAACTCCACTTATGGTTTTCTGGTGGTTAATTGGAGGTAAGAGGCTCATGGACTTTCTTGCCTGGTCTGGCTTCAAACTGTGATCCTCAGATCTCAGCTTCCTGAGTAGCTAGGAATATAGCTGTGAGCTACCAGCACCCTGTTAGGAATTTCTTTAATGTGTATTATGACATGAACAGTATGTACTTTATTGTACAATCTCATTGCTTGTGTTGATCTTTTTATAGTATATGCAGAATCAGAATGTTCCTGGGAATATTGAATTAACTGTGAATATCCTGACAATGGGTTATTGGCCAACATATGTGCCTATGGAAGTCCATTTGCCACCAGAGGTAAGATTTACTATTTAGGACTTAAGATATAGGCACGGAGATCACAATACTTTTTGCTTGTCATTTAAAAATAGATGCTTTAAAAATGCTTATGTCAGCAGTCATACCAACAAAAAATACTAAGTGTTAATATTTTATCATTGTACTTAAATTTCTAAGTCTTTTTTAGCTCATAGTTAATGAGTGATGTCGGGTTACTAAATCAAGGGTCAGTTTCTCTAAGTCTTTTTTTTTTTTTTTTTTGGTCGTGGGGCTTGAACTCTGGGCCTGAGCGCTGTCCCTCAGCTCTTCAGTTCAAGGCAAGCGCTCTACCACTTGAGCTATAGTGCCACTTCCGGTTTTCTGGTGGTTATTGGAGATAAGAGTTTCACGGACTTTCCTGCCCAGGCTGGCTTTGAACCGCGATCCTCAGATCTCAGCCTCCTGAGTAGCTAGGATTACAGACATGAGCCAACCAGCACCCGGCTTTCTTTAACTCTTATTTCCCCAGTTTATATAGGATCCTCACTTTCCCTAGTTGTCAGTATTTTTTTGGTACATGTACTGGGACTTGAACTCAGGGTCTGGGCATTTTTCCTTAACTCTACCACTTGAGCCACAGTTTCACTTCTAAATTTTTGGTAATTAAGTGGAGATGTCTCCAGCCTGTCTGGGCTGGCTTTGAACTGTGATCCTCAGATCTCAGCCTCCCGAGTAGCTAGGATTACAGGCATGATCTATAGGTGTCCAGCTTGTCAATACTTTCTTGCCCATATTTTACTTGGAGACATGATTACTGAGTGAGAGGTACATGAGTAAATTCATTCTAATTCCTGGGGAAATAGCTAGAAAAGTTAAAGTTAGGGAGGCAGATACTGAGAGTCTTCCATGGAGATGATCCTGGAAGCCCAGGAAGTAGATTTCTCTCATTAAGAAGAATATAGAGGCAAAGAAGAAAAAATGTACAGAGCCAGAACTTCTGAAAAGGTTCAAGGTGAGAGTGTGTTCCCAGCTCTTGCTTAGGCTGTATGAGGCCCTGAGTTAACCCCAGAAAAGGAACACACTTGGCAAGTGGTCGGAAGAAGAAACTGTTATGATAACTTGAGCAGAAGCAGCAGTGAGAGAAAGGAACTGGCATAGTGTGGAGGCACAGAAGCCACTGGAGGTGAATGTTATAATGGAATAGTTAAATGGTTCAGAGATCAGTATAATGACTGACAAATGACATTAAATTTGGTGACCAAGAAATTATTATCATACATAAAGTGACTGGGATTATTTAAAACTTTCAGAAATTGCAGATAGGTAAGTGAAAATATTTGTGAGTGTGATATTTTTATGGAAAGCTAAAATGTTGCCTTAATTTTGTACTTTAGATGGTAAAACTACAGGAAATTTTCAAGACATTTTACCTAGGTAAACACAGTGGCAGGAAACTCCAGTGGCAATCAACCCTTGGACACTGTGTGCTAAAAGCAGAATTTAAAGAGGTAAGTGGATGATACTTAAACTTAGTTTTTAGTTTCATCTTTAATGTTGATATCACTCATTGAGTTCAAATCGTTGTATTAAAACTATATTCTAGACATTTGTATGACAATAGTGATAGCTTATTGCAATTTACAATCTTTTCTACAATTGATGTGACTCTTTGTACAAGACCTAAAGACCTTATCCCCACACATGCTTCTTCCCTACCTGTGAATCCAAAATTCACACTGCCATTTGTCAGAAATCTTGTTGCTTGGAGCTAGAGAGTAGAATGGGAGTTTAAGGGAACAGCAGGGTCCATAACTAATTTAAAAATATTCCTGAACTGAAGCTTTTCATGATTAATCTGAACCAAACAAGTGAAAAATGTACTTGAAATAGTGAATTCTTGCTGCTTGTGATGAATATCTTTAGTGACATTAATTAATTTTTATTACTTTAATTAGAAGGTTTTCAAAAGACTTGTTAAAAGCCAAGTAATCCTTCACCTTATTTTAGGTAAAGTCAAACCTAAACTTTACCCTGCACATAGTGTATTACCACCTGAAGTGTTTTTAAGAGTAATGTTAATCCATTTAAGCCTACTAATTAAATAATGTTTTTCCTGTAAGAGATTACTTATTTAATTTTTTTCATGTGTTTTTAAAAAAATAATGTCTTAGCATTGCTATTTCTCCCAACAGGGTAAAAAAGAACTCCAAGTGTCTCTTTTTCAAACACTGGTGCTGCTAATGTTCAATGAGGGGGAGGAGTTCAGTTTAGAAGAGATCAAGCAGGCTACTGGAATAGGTTTGTATTAAAGCAGTTGAGTAACAAACATTAGGTGTCCACTATGTAAGGCATTTGGATATAAAAGAATAGCCTTCTCCATACTCTTAGTATAACCAGGGACAATGAACAATGATACTTGAAGTTCAAAACCAGTAGGTACTAGTCTGTGGTGATGACTGGAAGTGTGTTAGTTCGGCAGTAAAAGATCATTGTAGACTGGAAAATGGGAAATTCCCCATGAAGGAAGTTTATTTTTTTTGTCAGTCAGGGGGCTTGAACTCAGGGCCTGGGCATTGTCCCTGAGCCTTTTCACTCAAGGCTCTCGCTCTGTCACTTTGAGCAGCAGCACCACTTCTGGTTTTCTAGTAGTTAATTGGAGGTATCTCACAGACTTTTCTGTCTGAGCTGGCTTTGAACTGTGATGCTCAGATCTCAGCCTCCTGAGTAGATAGGATTAAAGGTATGAGCTACTGGCGGCTGGCAAGGAAGTAGATCTTGAGCTGGACCTTCCAAGTTTCTTTTTTAATTTTCTTTTTTTTTTTTTTTTTACTATAAACATAATATACAGGTGGGTTATAGTTCCTTCTGAGTTTTGGTAGGATTAAAAGCATATTAAGCCAAGTGCTGATGGCTCACACTTATAATCCTAGCTACTAAGAGGCTGAGATCTGAGGATATCAGTTCAAAGCCAGCCTGGACAGAAAAGTCCGTGACTCTTATTCTCAGTAAACTACTCAGAAAAAGCCAGAAATGTTACTGTGACTTAAGTAGTTGAGTGCTAGCTTTGAGCAAAAGAAGCTCAGGGACAGTGCCTAGACCCTGAGTTCAAGCTCCAAGACTGTCAAAAAAAAGCATATTAAAGCAGGGGGAAACCCATTTGTAATGAGGCTTGGAATAGGAACAGTACAATTTGGCAGAAATCAAAAAGCCTAATTGTAGCTTAGACAAGTGAGAAATAAAATGTATTAAGTAAGATAGGTAAGATCTGATCATGGAGCCTGATAAGTCTAGTAAACTAAATACATGTTCTATTTGTCTCAAGTGTGTGACATAATGGGAATACCTTGTTTGGACAACTTTCCTGAAATCAATAGGACAACTTGGAGAATGAAGAGGTTGTAGTTCAGAAGCTATAAAGATAATCCAGGGATAAAGAGCTAAGGGGCTTATACTAGAAGGAGGCAGTGAGAATGGAGAAGAGCTTTTTCTAAAAAGCAACTACTAGAAAGTGGTGCAGTGCTAGCTTTGAGCAAGAGAGATCAGGGACAGCACCCAGACCCTGTGTTCAAGCACCATGACTAACAATAAATAAATAAAATATATAAATACATAAATAAAATAAAAACAACTCCTAGATACATAGAGGAATTAGAGAGATCAAAGACATTAAAGATGATTCCAGGATTATGTCACCAGTATAAGTTATAGTATTATTACTAACAGTTGGAAAAAGCATAAAAATTTATGGGAAAAATCGAGATTATAGAACATTATCCTCATATTGGAGTTAATAGCAAAACACCCAAATGGAAATACCCTGTAGATGAGAAATTAGAGAGAAGTGAAATGTTATTGCTGATGATTTGCTAGTTGTCTGCATGGAATGATAATTGACACTTTTAGGAGACAGCTAGGAAACCTGCTTTTTTTTTTTTTTTTGACAGTCCTGGGGCTTGAACTCAGGCCTGGACACTGTCCTTGAGCTTCTTTTGCTCAAGGCTAGCACTCTACTACTTGAGCCACAGTTCCACTTCCGGATTTCTCTGTTTATGTGGTACTGAGGAATTGAACCCAGGGCTTCATTTATGCTAGGCAAGCATTCTGCCACTAAGCCACATTCCCAGCCTCAGGAAATCTGTTTTTTTTCCTGCCCAGGCTGGCTTTACAGGTGTGAGCCACTGGTGCCTGGCTGAAACTTGCTTTTAAATAGAACAGAAAAGTCTTCGGTGACCTTGGGGTAAATGAAACAGCTTTAATAGATGTGTGGGTGGAAAATACATTGATGTTGAATGTCACTCTTCAATGCTGAAGCTACTAACCAATAACTAAAACTGCTCTTTCTTCAGAGGATGGAGAGTTAAGGAGAACACTGCAATCATTAGCTTGTGGCAAAGCTAGAGTCTTGGCAAAAAATCCAAAGGGCAAAGACATTGAAGATGGTGACAAGTTCATTTGTAATGATGATTTCAAACACAAACTTTTCAGGATAAAGATCAATCAAATCCAGATGAAAGAAACGGTAAATCTTTTGTTTATTTCTATTCCTGATATATTAGCGAAGATAGATAGATACATAGATACATAGAGATAATTTTCATAGCAAAAATTTATAAATTATACCTGTTGTACAACTACTACTACTATTATTAATATTTTCTGTGCTCATATCTAGCTAGATAAAACTTCAGTGTTTAATTTTGGGTTTTTTGGAGGGGGGTAGATGTGCATGTGATTGGCTGAATAGTTAATGAACTTTCCCTTTCCTGAATTGCTGGGGGTCAAACCTACAGCCTTGCTCATGCTAGGCAAGCACATTACTACTACTCTACATCTCCAGCCCATCTGTATAGTTTTTTTTTTTATTGTGAAAATACTGTACAGAGGAGTTACAATTACATGGGCAAGATAATGAGTACATTTCTTATCAAGCATTGTAGCCTCCTCCTTTGTTTCCCCTTCCCATCCCTTCCCATCCTCCCTCTGCCCCCATCCATATAGTTTTATATCATTTTTTTATTTAATACTCAACCTTTAGAATTTTTCCACACTATGAAGTATTTGCAAAATGACAAATTGCTGCATGACAGTCTTTTTTCTTCTTTTCTAAAAATTTTATTTATTTATCAACTCTAATGGGGTTTGAACTCAGGACCATGCCTCCAGCCCTTTATTTCACTAGTTATTTTTAGGATAGGTTCTCACTTCCTATGTGGACACATGTCTGACTTCTAATGCTCCTCCTTTTAGGCTTCCAATCATTATTGGAATTATAGGTATACACCACACATCTTGCTTTCCTTTCATGGGGATAGAATCTGCCTGGACTATTCTGGCACCAGCCCTGAGACCCTTCAAATCTCAGCTTAAGAAAGATGACAAGGGGCTGGGAAGGTGGCTCAGTGGTAGAGCGCTTGCTTGCCTTGCATGCATGAGGCCCTGGGTTTGATTCCTCAGCACCACATAAGCAAAAGGAAAAAAGCCAGAAGTGGCACTGTGGCTTAAGCGGTACAGTGCTAGCCTTGAGCTGAAGAGCTGAGGGACAGCGCCCAGGCCCAGAGTTCAGGCCCCACGACCGGACCCAAAAAAGAAAGATAACAAGCATATACCATTGTACCCAACTGTAGGTTGAGAAAGGGGTTCATGAACTTTTCTGCTGGGGCTAGCTTTGAAACTTGGCAACACCTGTGCCTAGCCTATGTGATACTCTTTTACCTGGCCATTATAATTTATTAAATCACTGTTCATTGTTGGGATATATTCATGACCGTTTAACATAGTAAGATAAAGCTATAAGACATTTTTCTTTTTTTGTCAGTTGTGGGGCTTGAACACTGGGCCTGGTCACTGTTCTTCAGCTCTTCAGCTCTTGAGCACTCTACCTCTTGAGCCACAGCGCCCCTTTGGTTTTCTGGTGCTTTATTGGAGATAAGAGTCTCATGGACTTTCTTGCCTAGGCTGGATTTGAACTGTAATCCTCTGATCTCAGCCTTCTTAGTAGCTAGGATTACAGGCATGAGCCACCAGTGCCAGGCCTATAAGAAACATTTTTTGTACCTTAATCATATTTTTTGAGATAATGTCTTCTTGTATATCCTAGGCTGGCCTAGAACTAAGGATCCTCCGGCCTCAATCTTAAGTGTTGGGATTACAGACAGGTGCCACCATGCTCAGTTCTACATAAATCTTAATCTCTCTGATTTTTCCCTTATGGTAAATACAGGGAAGTAGATTTTGAGGTCAAAGGATATGAACATTTTTTTTCCTGGTGTTTATTTTGTTGAACTTTGACTTTGCCTTTCTTAGGAATTACACTGTTTGAATCTTCCCTTCAATCTACTATATTTCAGTTAATACATTTTATACACTTACATACTACCCAGTGTATTTACCTATAAATTCATAAGCTAAATCTAGCTTCCATTGTCCCTCTGGGCCCAGTTTACTTCACATGTCTTTTCATTTCTTTTTTTTTTTAATTCTTTTTTTTGTTTGGGTCCGGTCATGGGGCCTGAACTCTGGGCCTGGGAGCTGTCCCTCAGCTCTTCAGCTCAAGGCTAGCGCTCTACCACTTTAGCCACAGCGCCACTTCCGGCTATTTTCTTTTTTGCTTATGTGGTGCTGAGAATCGAACCCAGGGCCTCATGCATGCAAGACAAGCACTCTACCACTGAGCCACCTTCCCAGCCCCCGTCTTTCCATTTCTTTACAAGTGTATAATATTATTCTAATAGTTGAGTAAAATTCCATTATATATATATATATATATATATATATATATATACATATATACACACACATACACACACACACACACCATATTTGTCTGATCCATTTGTCCATTGAGGGGCTGATACCATATCTTGGCTATGTGAATAATGGAATGAACATGATGGCTTTACTGTATCCTGGTTTGTAATCTTTTGTGTAAATGCACAGGAGAATTGCTGCATCATAGGGTAGTGCTTTGCTTAATATTTTGAGGAACCTCCATACTGCTTTCCAGAGTGACTAAACAAGTTTACATTCCCACCAACAGTGTGTATTGGGGTTCCCTTTTTGCTGCATCTCCACCAGCATCTGCTATCATTTGTTTTCTTGATAATGGCCATTCTAACTGGGGTGAGGTAGAATCTCAGTGTTGTTTTGACTTGTATTTCCTTTGTGGCCAAAGTTGTTGAGCATTTCTTTATGTGTCTATTGTCCATTTTTACTTCTTTTTTACTTTTTTTAAAACTCATTAGCCCATATAAGATACTTTTAATGAAACCAACTGTTAAGCCTTTTGAAATGGGTTTTCAGTACCAGAAAGATTCAATGCAATTTATTTTATTTATGTATGTGTTTGTTTATTTATCTGTAGGTAGTTTTAAAATGGAATTTCAGCCGGTACCGGTGGCTCACGCCTGTAAGCCTCGCTACTCAGGAGGCTGAGATCTGAGGATTGCGGTTCAAAGCCAGCCCGGGCAAGAAAGTCTACGAGACTCTTATCTCCAATTAACCACTAGAAAACCGGAAGTGGCGCTGTGGCTCAAGTGGTAGAGTGCTATCCTTGAGCAAAAGGAACTTGGGGACAGTGCCCAGGCCCTGAGTTCAAACCTCAGGACTAGAAAATAAAGTGAATGATGAATTCCGCATTAACCATCTGTACTTTTAGAAAAGCAATTTAAACATGATGTTTTTCTATTAGCCAATATTGGTATTTACCAGTACAGGGCAGAATAAATAGGACAGAAAAGTTAATGTTTTTGGATTTTTTTCTGTTAGATCAGCACTTAGAAGGTCCCATTCAGATAATTCAGTACACTTAACGAACAAAAAGTTAATAGGTACAGTTTCTATGAGTAATAATACAGTTGCAGTTCAAGGACTGTACTTACGTTTAAAACATTTTTAGGTTGAAGAACAAGCAAGTACTACAGAAAGAGTATTTCAAGATAGACAATATCAAATTGATGCTGCAATTGTTCGAATTATGAAGATGAGAAAGACACTTAGCCATAATCTTCTTGTTTCAGAAGTATATAACCAGTTAAAATTTCCAGTAAAGGTAAGTATTTCTTTGTTTTTCTGTTGTTATAAATGAACAAGAATACTTTATATTTTCAGGCACTAATTTTACAAGTATAAATTTAAGACTTAAGACTGGAGAGCTAGGATTTAATTTCTTGTTTTCATACATATGATTCAGAAAACAACTTTATTTATTTATTTATGTGGATAGCTGTGTAAAAAAAGGAAAAACATTTTATAAAAGACATCGTACTTGAAAGGCTAATGAGTAAATGAGGCTTTCAAATTTTTACTATATTTCTTCACTATATCTTTTGAACCTTCCTTTCTCCATGAAATAACTTGATTTGACAGATTTATTTTGTTTGTTTAATAGGTTGAATTACATCTTCTGTTTGGTTAACTTACATAAATGTTTGTTTTTTTGGTTTTGGATTTTTTTTTGAATACTGGGATTTAAACTTGGTCTGATCCTTGTTAGGCTGACCCTTTACCACTTGTGCCATGCCTCTAGCTCTGCTTGGCTGTTGGTTATTTAGAGATGGGGTCTTAGAAAATTTTCTGCTCTGTTTGGCTTCAAACCGTGATCCTCCAGATCTCAGCCTCCTGAGTAGCGAGAATTACAGGCTTAATCCACCAGCACCTCGCTGTAAAATGTCTATTAAAAATGGTGCACATGTGTGGGACTATAGCTCAAAGATAGACCACTTGCATAGCAAGTGATCTAATGTACTGTGGATAACATGAAACAAAAACAAAACCTGTACTTAATCATCATAAAGGATCTTATTTTAAATTTTTGTTTAACCTCTACTAATTATAAGTGCTAATGGAGTTCAGTGTGATACTTCCACAACTTACCTATTTTGTGTGTACCAGTCAAATCCAACCTTACTTTAGTGTCTTTTGAAAAAGTCTAGCAATAGTTGTAACTAAAATTAGTAATTAAATGGACATGTCCCAATTTAAATGCCCAATTATAAAAATCTTTAAACAATGAGGTATTATATTAGATTATTTTCTAAGTTTTAGGAGTCATGGCACAGCACTAACCTATGAGAGAAAGCATCAGGAACCAAGTTTGAGTCCCAGCATCAGACCAAAAAAAAAAGATTCCTGAACTCTTGTAATTATTAATAAACACTTTTTTTTGTCAGTTGCGGGGCCTGAACTCTGGGCCTGGGCACTGTCCCTGAGCTCTTCAACTCAGGGCTAGCTCTCTACCACTTGGGCCACAGCACCACTTAATAAACACTTTGTAGAGTTTGCATACACACCAAGCTGTTAGGATTCCTAAGTGCTTTGGACTTATGTACATTAACTTGTTGACTTTGTTTTTACTTTTGTAAAGTGGAAAACTTCCCTATTATGACAGTTAAATGAGATAACTCTAAAATACATTCCTTTTGCTAGGTGCAGGTGGCTCATGCTTGTAATCTAGCTAATCAGGAGGCTGAGATCTGAGGGTTGCAGTCAAAGCCAGACTGGCAGAGAAGTCCGTAGACTCATCTCCAGTTAACCTCCAGAAAGAAAACTGAAAGTGACACTGTTGCTTAAAGTGTGCTAGCCTTAAGCACAAAAGCTCAGGGACAGAGCCTAGGCCCTGAATTCAAGCCCACAACTGGCAAAAGGGTAAAAAATAGAAAACAAACAAAAAAACATAGCTTTGAATTTGGCATATAAGTAGCTATTAATAGCTTATAATAAGGTAGACAATTTTCTCCAAACCTAATACTGTCTTTTCATCACTCCACTTCCAACCTTCATGCTCTGCCTAAAATTCATTTCCCTGCCAACCAGGGAGTTCACCGATGCTAGGAAGTTGCCGAGAGTAGGGGGTCACTGTAATAAACATTATATTCTAGGTCCCTTTCATAATGAAGAAAACATCATTTGAAATTCAAACCTTGCTCTATCCTCTCTTCCTCTCCTTCTTCTTCAGCCTTTTTTTTTCCATGGCCTCCCATAACTGTGGATTCTACCAACCACAGATTGAAAATACTTAAAAAAAAAATTAGCTGGGGGACTGGGAAGGTGGCTCAGTGGTAGAGCGCTTGCCTTGCATGCATGAGGCCCTGGGTTCGATTCCTCAGCACCACATAAGCAAAAAGAAAAAAGCCGAAAGTGGCGCTGTAGCTCAAGTGGTAGAGCGCTAGCCTTGAGCTGAAGAGCTGAGGGACAGTACCCAAGCCCAAAGCTCAGGCCCCACAACCGGACCCAAAAAAAAAAAAAATTAGCTGGGAATGGGGTTCAGTGGGTGGTTGAGGTAGGAGGATTGCTTGAATTCAAGGCCATTCTGGATAATAACACAATGTTAAAGTTGGGCCTGTACTGAATATGTACAGATTATGTCCTAGGATTATTCTCTATATAATATATGACAATATAGTATAAAATCTTGACATTGTATTAAATATTATAATAGCAGAGACTTTTATACAAGGTCTCTGTATAGCCCTTTAACATATGATCCTCCTGCCTCAGTCTCCCAAGTGTTAGGACTATAAGTATGGATTACCATACCCAGCTTTGATGATTTTAAAGTCTACTTGAGAAAGTGTGAAGATTGATTGTAAATATTATATCCTGTGTATACAGGAGGCTTAAGCGTTAACAGACTTTTTGATATCTGTGACTCCTGGAACCATCATGTGAATATGCTAAGAGCTGACTTTTTTTTATGGGCAACTTTGGTTTCATGTAGTTGAATTTTGTGATCTAAGAGTTATGTACAATCATGAAGACAAGCTATAGGTTTCCTTGACTTTTTTTTTTGTCATTTGTGGGGCTTGAACTTGGTCTGGGCGCTGTCCCTGAGCTCTTCAGCTCAAGGTGAGCACTCTAGCACTTGAGCCACAGTGACACTTCTGGTTTTCTAGTGGTTAATTGGAGATAAGAGTCTCATGGACTTTCTTGCCTGGGCTGGCTTTGAACTGTGCTCCTCAGATCACAGCCTACTGAGTAGCTAGGATTACAGCCTTGAGTCATGAACTCCCAGTTGCTTCCTTGTGACTTTTAAGCCAAAAGTAATATTCGAACTCCAGATCACTTACAATGGATAACAAAGTCTTACATTAAACCTGAAACATGCAGATGTAAATTATATACTTTATCAAGTCATTTTGTGTAGTAATTTTTCCCACACATTTTATTTTATTATTATTATTTTTTTTTTTGGGTCCGGTCGTGGGGCCTGAACTCTGGGCCTGGGCACTGTCCCTCAGCTTTTAAGCTCAAGGCTAGCGCTCTACCACTTGAGCCACAGTGCCACTTCCAGCTTTTTTCTGTTTGCTTATGTGGTGCTGAGGAATCGAACCCAGGGCCTCGAGCATGCAAGGCAAGCGCTCTACCACTGAGCCACCTTCCCAGCCCCTCCCACACATTTTAGAATTTAATTTATAAAAATGAAAACTAACTTGGAGAACCAGCTTTTTTTTTTTTTTTTTTGAGACAGGGTCTAAGTTTGTAGATCAATCTGGCTTAAGATTAAGGGCCTGTGCCACCACATCTGGTTGAAAACTAGCTTGCATAAATTTGTACTAAGGACAGTAGGCTAAAATCTGAGGATTGCAGTTTGAAGCCAGTCCAAGCAGGAAAGTCTATGAGACTCTTATCTCCAATTAGCCACCAAAAAGTGGGAAGTCCAGGTGTGGCTCCAGTTGAACAGTGACAGCCTTGAGTGGAAAAAGGGCAGGGCCAATGCCTAGGCCCTGAGTTCATCATCCAGTATCGGAGCACACATGCACACACTTGTGAAAGCGTACACACGCATGTACACGCACACACACACACACACACACACACACACACACACAAAGTTGTCATTTGTTCCAACTACTTTTATAAAACAAAATACCATTTTTTCCTAAACTGTAAATGTGTTCCTTGTGTGAAATTATGGTAATTCTAGTAATTTGGATTTCATTATGCATAGGATAGCTGGTTCTGGAAGGATCTCTCTAAAATAGATAAGCAGTAGTAAATATTATATTACAATGACAAGAGTATGATTATTTTATTTTTATTTTTTGATAATTTTATTTTTTAAGTGGTTGTAAGTTTTGAACTCAGGGCATGGGTACTGTCTGGACTCTTGCTCAAGGCTAGTGCTCTATCACTTTGAGTCAAAGCATCATTTCCGGTTTTCTGGCAGTTAATTGGGAGATAAGAGTCTCAGGAACTTTCCTGCTGGGGCTAGTTTTGAACCATGATCTTCAAATGTTAGCTAGGATTACAGGCATGAGCCATCAGTGCCTGGCAAGACTATGATAATTGATGTATAAAATGTAGTATATAAACCTTTGTTTTCCTGAGATGATTCTTTGTTTTGTTTTCCATATATGTGTTTGAGGCCTACACTCAACCTAGAACTTATGATCTTCCTGCCTCAGCCTCCTGAGTGCAGGGATATCATGTGTACACCACCATATCTATCCCTTGTTCATTTTTGTATTAGGGTTTTAGTGCGTGGGTTTATACTAAAGATTATGAGCTTTCTATTGAAAATTTGTCTTCTTTTGCAGCCTGCTGATCTAAAGAAGAGAATAGAATCTTTAATTGATCGGGACTACATGGAAAGAGATAAAGAAAATCCAAATCAGTACAACTATATTGCTTAGAATGTTGGCCTTGAAGCATTTGTTGTCATGCTGTAGCCAATGGATAAACTAATTTGTTGATCCTATATTATTTGACTTCTTTTATACTATGGATGACCAAAATGAAGCAATGTTAATGGAAATAATTGAGTGGACTTTCTCTCAGTGGTTAACATGCCCATTTTAAAGAGTAATACTTTAAAAGAATGTTGTTGAACTCTTTGCATGTTATTTAGTATGATGTGAAGAAGTCTCTTAAGAAAAGTTCTTGGTCTTTATGATTCCTCTTTGGAACTGGGGAAGAGATCCCTGTGGCTATTAAGTTGTGTTTGGGGGGGGGGTTCTTATACACCAATAACTATGAAGCAAAAGGTTTATTTGCTTAATATGTCATTTAAAGATACTTAAACTGCATGCAAACTTTATTTACTGTACAGAATTCTGGATGTATTTATCAAATAGAAAAACCACCCTGGACTTGATTGTTCACCTGTTTTGTGATTTCCCTGGAAAAGAAAAATGAATTGTCATAGCTATTGATATTTTACTAGATAATATTCTGTTATGCTGAAAGCGATGTTTTAAAGAAATCTTATTTGGAAACAAGTTTTGAAGTAAGGCAACAGTTGGTTTCATAATATCTTGTGTAGTCAATCTTAAAATTTTCTGTTTGTGAGTATGGGATATTTGTATATGGCTTAGCCCTCAGTTTACTGTGCTAATTAACTGGTACTTACAAAAATAGCTGGAACAGAAAAATTTTCTGACCAGGTCATACTAAAGAAACATCATAGGAGAGAAAAATCCAACTCTTCCTTTATATTATAAATGAATCTAATATGAAAATTGCAAAAGAGACCAAAATCAATGTTATTTGTAAGTTATTTCAGGAGCAAAAATTCATCAAGTAGTTTTCAGTATGCCTTAGTCTTTAAATGTCGTTTGGATAGTTCGTGTGTGTGTGTGTGTGTGTGTGTGTGTGTGTGTGTGTGTGAGAGAGAGAGAGAGAGAGAGAGCACATATGTGTGCATGTGCATTTGTGTGCACACACGCATGCATACGTGCTAGTCCTGGGATTTGAACTCAGGGCTTGGGCGCTGTCCCTGAGCTTTTTTTGTTCAAGGCTAGCGCTCTACCACTTGAGCCACAGCTTCACTTCCAGATTTTTTTGTAGTTAATTGGAGATGAGTCTCATGGACTAGCTTCAAACTGCAATCCTCAGATCTCATTTTCCTGAGTAGCTAGGATTACAGGCATGAGCCACAGGCACTTGGCCTCTGTCTTTAACTTGGACCAATTGTAGTTTGCTATAGGCTTCCTAGGAGCTAGCATTCCAGTTTACTATATGTATTTTTTGGAAGCATCCCAACACTTGTCTTTGTTGATAAAGCTTTTACTATCATCCTGTTCTAGTTTCTTGAAACTCTAGAAATGAGATCTTTCATCTTTTGCCCACACAATTCCTATTTGGGAATTTCTGAATTCCTTCTAAAATTTCTTGAAGCGTTCTTATAGCCATTGGACACCTGCTTTTCAGGGAAGTGTCCTTAGATTGTTCATACTTGTAAAATAACAAAAGTATTGTTCTTTAAATTAATAACGAGTAAAAGGCTTCTCTATTGTCAGTGGGTTTCTGTTTTGCCTCCTTGTTTGTTTTTTCTTGAAGAAATTCATCATGGAGGAGAATCAGAAAAGTTTACTGTTTTTTTTTTCTTTTTCAATTGAAACTTCTTTAATGCTTTTCACAACAGCCTATGTCCTTGCCTGTTAGGAGCCATTAGGAAGAATGCCTGGTCCTAACTTTCAGCTTGGGATTTATAACTCTTGTGTCTACTATTGATTATTTTCTTGAATTTTCAGAAACCTGTGGCCAGCCATATATACATATGTATACATACACATATATGTGTATGTATATTTATATATATATATATATCCATTTCTGTTTAATTGAAAAATCTTGCACACTTGTCTAACTATATATAGTATTTAGAATCCCTTCCTAATTCTTTTTGAGCAGCAGTTGTCTAAATTTTCTTTGTTCCTCTGGTTTCCTTACGGGAGATCTTCTAGTAACGATATGCAGCCATTTTGTTTACCTTCTCTCCATACTAGACCATCTGCAACAGTGTTCTGACTCATCCCTGATGGTCTCTGAGATATGTAGACTATTACAACAGAATTGTAACTTACTTTAAGCATTTTTAATAGATTTATTTCTATTGGGAAGCTTAATGTCTTCTTCCTTATCTTGAAAGCGGGTCTCTTCCCTGAGGTTCTTAATTCTTTGAAAACTTGATACTGTTTCATCTGAAAAATTAGCAAGACAATTAAAAGAAGTTAAGGGGAGCTGTTTAAGAAATTGAAAAATTATTTGCAAACTATGTTGAATCATTGTGATTTTCAGTTGCTCTGTATTAATTGAAGTTTTGTGCTCTTTTCCCTGTGTACGTGGTGGTTCTATTTTTCTCCAATAAAACTTTTATTTAAAAAAGTTTCTGGGGAAGATCTTTAAAGTTGAAATATTATGAAAAGGTTATAAAGCCACAGGACTTACATCTTCATAATGATTTTTTTTCATGAGTTCACATTTTACCATTTCATTAGTTTATTGATTTAAATTTTATGGTAATTGTGCAATAATGAATTCTCAAGGTCAATAGTGCTTAAGTGTTATTTTAGAAAATTCAGGTATATACACACATTGCTTCGTTCAAGTCCTCAAAGACAGTTAGTTTTAGAAAGTATGGAACTAATGTTGAGAAGATGATGTAAGATTGTTAGTTTTGGCACTTGATCTACCTGTTCTGTTAATAGTATGTTTTCCAAGGCAAAATACTGTCACAGATGTTTCTTGAAATTTTTCTTAGTTCCTGAGTCTGCTTAATAGTCTTAATACAATGTCTTGCCATAGTCTTGAAATTCTTACTATATATGTTTAAGTTCAGGAAATCACATTATTCTTATTTAGGCATCTGTGTCTAAGGCCTTGAAAAGTTTATTAATCTTAACATCTATAACACTAATTAGATGTTTTTATTCATTTCAGTAACCACTCAGATTAATGCTATGAATGGTAAGACTGTTATGAACATATTTCATTTATATAAAATTGCCTGAACAAATTGTTCACTGAAAAGAAAAGAGCTCAGCTAATGGAAATTGGCATACTTGAGCTTTGTAAGGTGATATCTTTGGCTAATGCTTCATTAATGAATGTTCTTCAGTTGCATGCAAAAATTTGCATTTGAATAGTGAACAGGTTCAATTCTTATACTTGTTCAATTATTTTTCTTTATTCCTTTGCCATTTTGAGTGGACACATGATCTACTTTGATATTTAATAATCCTTAGCAGTTATGTCTGTGTGGTTTAAAATCCTAATCTTTCCTGTGTTGAACCTTTGTTATTTGATAATGAATGTGAGAATATATAGAATTAGACATATTAGGACTTAGTAGTTTTGCAAGCTATAAAACCAGCAAATCTTTTTATTTGTTCTCTAATTTTTATAGCAAGATCAAGATTTTATTTATTTATTTTTCGCGGTCATGGGGCTTGAACTCAGGGCTTGGGCTCTTCCCTGAGCTCCTTTTGCCCAAGGCTAGTACTCTACCTCTTTGAGCCACAGCAACAGTTCCAGTGTTCTGGTGGTTAATTGGAGATAAGAGTCTCATAGACTTTCCTTCCTGGGCTGGCTTTGAACCATGATCCTTAGGTCTCACTTAGATCTCAGCCTTCTGAGTAGCTAGGGTTACAGGCATGAGCCACCAGTATCTGGATATCAAGATCTTTTAAACCGTAATTTTTTTCCTATGGCAAAATGCACATGTAAAATTTAACATTCTAACCATGTTAAATTGTATAATTCATATATTCAGTACATTCACATTATTGTACAATCATTATCATTAGACTTTTTTTTGGGTGCTGGTCCTGGCCCTTGAACTCAGGAATTGGACACTGTCCCTGATTTTTGTTTTTTATTCCTCAAGACTCGTGCTCTACCTCTTGAACCACAGCGCCACTTTAGGCTTTTTGGTGGCCTGGACTGGATTCAAACATCTGTCCTCAGATGTCAGCTTCCTGAGTAGGTAGGATTAAAAGCACAAGCCACTAGTGCCCAGCTACTTTCAGAACAGTTTTATCAGCTCCAAATGAAATCTAGTATCCATTAAACAGTTACTTCCAATCCCCCTTCACATAGCCTTTGAAAATGAACAGTCTGCTCTCTTTATGGATTTTTCTGTTCTGAATATTTTGCATCAGTGGAATCATGTAACCATTTCCATCTGATTTCTTTCACTTAGTGTGATACTGTCAAAGATTCATTTGTGTTTCTTTTTTGACGGGGAGGGGTCCGGTCGTGGAGCCTGAACTCGGCCTGGGCACTGTCCCTCAGCTCTTCAACTCAAGGCTAGCGCTCTACCACTTGAGCCACAGCGCCACGTCCGGCTTTTTTCTTTTTGCTTATGTGGTGCTAAGGAATCGAATCCAGGGTCTCAAGCGCTCTACCACTGAGCCACCTTCCCAGCCCCGTCATTTGTGTTTCTTCAAATATCTGTACTCCTAAGTTATGCATAACAATACATGCCATAGTTTATCTAGTTGTTAAACATTTGGCTTGTGGCTATTGTAGATAGTGCACCTGTGAAAATTGTGTACAAATATTTGTGTTTCCTCTTTTGTATTTTGTTGGGCATGGGGCTTGATCTCTGGGCCTGGGTGCTGTCCCTGAGCTCTCCAGTTCAAGGCTAGTGCTCTACCACTTTGAGCCATAGTGCCACTTCCATTTTTCTGGTGGTTAATTGGATATAAGAGTCTCACAGACTTCCTGCCCAGGCTGGCTTCCAACTGTGATCCTCAGATCTCAGCCTCCTGAGTAGCTAGGATTACAGGCATGAGCCTGTAAAACATTTCTTTCCCAATTTAAATATCTTCCAGGCTTATACCTACAGTGAAATTACTGAGATGAATGGTAAGTTTGTGCTTAAATTATCAAGGAACTACCACTAAACTTCCACAACATGTGTACCACCAACAATATACAAGGGTTCCAATCTCTCCATATCTTTATCTCTTTTCTAATCTGTTTTTTTTTTCCACTGGTATTGGGCTTGAACTCAGGGCCTTGCATTCTTGCAGAGAAGATTGGCATTTTGTGTCTGGGAAAGTGGTTTAGTGGTAGATTGCTTGCCTAGCATGCATGAAGCCCTAGGTTTGATTCCTCAGTACCACATAAACAGAAAAAGCCAGAAGTGGTGCTGTGGCTCAGGTAGTAGAGTGCTAGCCTTGAGCAAAAGAAGCTCAGGGACAGAGCCCAGGCACTGAGTTCAAGCCCCAGGACTGGCAAAAAGTGGCTGGTAAATCTAAGCTCATTAGATTTTTAGATTTATCCTTTTGTTTTCTTCTAAGAGTTTTATTTCTTACATTTAGATGTTGGTTTCATTTGAATTAGTTTTGTATATAGCATGAGCTAAGTCTCCTTCATTCTCTTTCATATGGATATTCAGTTATCTCAACACTATTTGTCAGACAATTTTCTCCACGAAGTGGTCATATCAACATTGTTTGAAACCACTGACAACAATTGTGTGAGTTTATTTCTGGATTGTCAGTTCTGCTCCCCTTTATCTGTATATTAATTATTATGCTAGTACTACACTTGATTAATATAGCTTTTCAATTTTAAAATTAGAATGTATGTGTATAGTAACTTTGCTCTTTTTCAAGGTGTGCGTGTGTGTGTGTGTGTGTGTGTGTGTGTGTGTGTCTGTGTCTGTGTCCGTGTATC